CCTATTTTCACTTAAAACAGAAAATTGCACAAACTTGGCATTGCACACTCCCTTGACTTTATCCATGTACACATCAACCTAATTTCACTTTTAAAAACATCAGAGAATTGCGCAAACTAGGCATTGCGCACTCTCTTGACTTTGTCCATATACACATCAAACTATATTCACTTAAAAGGAGCAGCCAATAAAAAAAAATACAGTACAAAGTCCATAATCCAGACGTCCATTATCCGGAATGATCTATAATCTGGACCTCAAAGCCACAAACTTACGCATGTGCGTAAATCGTTTACGTGTGTGCACTTCCGCTATGCATGCGCTTAAAGCCAGTAAAGCGTTTACCCATGTGCGCTTCTGATAGTGAAGAAAGTAACAGAAAACGTTATTGAAAATGAAAAAATTTCGATTGACAAGTTAGTCGGTATTCTGGACACAGCAATTACAGGACTTGAACAGTGGAACTTTGTAACTGAACATGAAATTATGTCTGTTTATAGAATTAAAGAAAAGTATTAGCACCAAAAAAAAAAAAAAAAAAAAGGAGCAACTTACATTGATAGAAATGTTTAATAAAGTAAACAAATAAATATTAAGCTTTTTTTCTTTTTTTTTTTTTTTTTTTTTTTTTTTGTAAATTTTGATACTGTTTAGATCATATTTGCTCTTTATTTCATAAATTACAGTTTTGTATTTTTAATTGTATAATTTCTGCATGCCATCTCACCAGATTTAAATTGATGATCTATAATCCGAAAAAACCCTAATCCGGAATTGCCAAAGTTCCGACGAGTCCGGATTACAGACTTTGTACTGTATATAATCTCAATAAAATACATTTTAGATCAAACAATGAAATAACATAAAAAAGGAAATTCTTCTTCACACGACACAGAAGAAATGTCCACTTACCTTATATACCAATTAACATGTCTTCAGTAAAACAAAATTCCTTAACAGCATCCAAAAACTTCCTAAAAGTAGCTGATTTAGAATCTGTATACTGGCGTCGCCACGTAAATTCACAAAGTAAGAGTCAGAAATATCCTCCGTAGCACCATTTATCGTTCGACCATATGCATTTCCTTCCTACGAACAAGACACTTAATAATGGCTACTAAGTAAACCTTCATTTACACTCAAGTTCAAGTAGTGCTCTTTTCCCCTTTCTTTCCAAATCGTACTGAAACTTATCTATCTTACCATATTAATCTTACTACATATTTTAAACGGTAGAATGGCTGAATTTTGTAAGATTAATTTGAATTTCTGTATGATTTGGAACGAAAGGGGGAAAGTGCATTAATTGACTGGTGTGTAATTGAAGGTTTACTTATTAGCCATGATAAGTGTCTTGTTTGTAGGTAGGAAATGTGTATGGTTGAATGTCGGAGGATACTGGCACTAAGGAGAATATTTTTTACTCTTACTTTTGTGAATTTATGTGACAACACTGATATACGGATTTTAGGAAGTTTTTGGATGCTGTTAAGGAATTTAGTGTGCCACAGACTGAAGGACCCAGAAATTTCTAAATAAGCGAAGTGGATATTTGCTTTGTGTAGTGGTTAGATGCATGTCCTTTTTTATGTTATTTTATTGTTTGATTTAAAATGTAGTTTATTGAGATTATGTATTTTTTGTTTGACTCTACCGTAGAATTGGTTGCTTCTTTGAATTTTTAATTGAAAATAGATCGATGTGTACATGGACAAAGGGTTACCAAATCACAATGCCAAGTTTGTGCAATTCTCTGATATTTTTTTTAAGTGAAAATAGGTCGATGTGTACATGGATAAAATCAAGGGAGTGCACAATGTCATGTTTGCGTAATTCTCTGAATTTTTTTTTTTTTTTTTTTTTTTTTTTTTTTTTTAGTGAAAATAGGTCGATGTGTACATGGATACCGAGTTTGTGCACTTCTCTGACTTGTAATTTTGTCTTGTAATTGTATAGCATCAATTTTTGGTGCAAAAATCGCCGCTACTGAAAGCCAAAATTATAATTAAAATCATTGTGTTTCTCTGTGCAGTGCAGCACAAGACATATTTTAACAGAAAGCTGCACCAAAAAAGCATGTGCATTTAATATTGAATAAATGCAGTTGAACACTATGTTAGTTGTAACTGTAATTCCACTCATTTTTTTTTTTTTTTTTTTTTTTCGCTCAGAAATGTAAAGAAGGAGAAATTACTATAAATTTCTCGTGACCGATTAAAAGCTATAAAAAGCCAGAGACAGAAAATCTCAGTTCAATTGTTTAGATAGTTGCTGTTGTTATTGTTGCGAGTTCAGCGAGAGATCAGATTAGCTTTCTCTTTGCATTGCGTTCTATTTTAACATGTATAGTAGTTTGAAGTATAACTACTGATTATATTGTGAACACTTGTATGAATATCTCTGAGGAAAATTTCACCATTCTGTTATATATCTTTTGATAAGAATAAATTTTATTAACCTTTAATTGGACTTGTGCATTCAATCTATTAAGAACCCGTACGCACGCAACAATATATATATTCAACTTTTTAATCTGACTGATTTAAATAAAAATGTGTATAATTTATATGTCCAATTAAAAATATAAATATTTTTATAAACTTACGATATATATTTTTTCTTCTCAAGATGTATATTACCATATTAGTCTGAATGTATATTCATGTAGTATTCTGTAAAATATTTTGCTTTTGCATTTGGTGACTGATAACCTAGTGATAAACCATCTTAAACTTTAAAAGAGCCATTTTGGGTGATAGTTAAAATTTGAAGCCTTTCAGATTTTTTTATATATTTACGTTCCTCGAAACAAAATCAACTTGATATTTCGCCATATAATATTAACCCCTTAACTGCCGCAGAAAACGTACAAGATTCATTTCCCAGTGCGACGGTTTTTCACACGGGCACGTGTAGTTATGCAATGTATTAGGGTGAAAATAAGTGCAAGTTTTACTTTCTAAAAAACTCAAACAAAATAAAGAATAAAAGAAAAAAAATGAATGCACAAAATTGAATGTTTTGAGTAAAAGTATAATAATAAAAAGATCCCTAAAATGGAGTTTCGATCAATCCATTTTTAGACCAGTAAAGTGTAATACAGTCAACTGGACTCGTCGGGACTTCGGCGATTCCGGATTATCGGTTTTTCTGGATTATAGATCCTCAGTTTAAATCTGGTAAGATGGCATGCAGAAATTATAAAATTAAAAATATGAAACTATAATTTATGAAATAAAGAGCAATTATGATCTAAAGGGTATCAAAATTTACAAAAAAAAAAAAGCTTTATGTTTATTTGTTTACTTTATTAAACATTTCTTTCAATGCGCGAATGCGTAAAGCGTACATTCCACATAGTCGAAATTAGAAAATTGCAACCAGAAAACTATTTTGATCTGTATTCGTGATATTTATAATGACGAGGAATTTGATTTAAATCATATCAAAGACAGAGTACATCAAGATGAAATACTACATTTAGTAAGGAATTATAAACTGAATAAAATAAAAACATCTGCCCTGAAGATAAGGATAGTGCTGACAGATCAACTTCCAGTTCATTGCACTCCGCGTTGTCCCCCCCCCCCCGGCAGATCAGTGTGAAATTGATAAACATGTTTCCGAATGATTAGAGAATCAAAGGATATGCCTTCATCCATTTTTTGCAGCAATTCCACTTTTTGTTTGATGGACATCAGAACATGCTTTCGCTTTGCAGATCCTTTGGTAGCTCCAGAATCGGAAATTCTTTTTGACATAATCGAAAGTTCAAGGTTACTTTTATAAAATTGCTCTAACAGTCTGCAAAAATAATAAGCCGAATCCAATTAGAAGATTAAGGAAGAACGCAATCTGCAACATTAACTGAAATAGATAATTAGATAATTTTAGCTAAGCTTATACCGTCCGTTATACATTAAACATGCATGCGTAAACGTATTATGCACATGCGTTCATGCATTATGCGTTGACGCATGCGCAGAAAGTTTGTAGCTTTGAGGTCCGGATTAAAGACTTTGACTGTATCGGATTTCAGTGTTATACCTTGTAAAATCAGTATGCCTAAAAAAACATATATTTCTTCTGAACTGGTTGAATGCCACGATTTTGTTCTTGATTTTTTGTTTGCAAGGTGTTGGTTCATATACTCGTTTACAAAACGGTTAGTTTCAGTGACAATATGAAACACGAACAGTTCATCAAAAAATATTTCAAAAAAGGTAATGGGTTTGAAACATCCATTATATCTTTCTTTATTCCTGGAACCTTCTACAAAAAGTAAACGAAAACGGAGGACACAGAATAAAAAAAAAAAAAAAATACGTTTTACTCAAACAACACCAGCTAATACTGCGCAGTCATTACTTTCATCGCTTTAGACATACCCCTCTCTCCAATTTCTCCCCACGCTTCTCTGAAATAGTATCCTCCTTTGCATACTTTGTCAAGGTCATTGTGGTGTTGCATTCCAAAGCTTTGCGAATAATTTTATGGGTAGCAAAGCAAAGCAAATGATAGTAGTTTGGAAAAGAGTATATATATATGCCCATGGCAGTTAATGCGTCGGCTGAGCAAGGCGTATATATACGCCCCCGGCAGTTAAGGGGTTAAGAATGAATTAAAAATGGTACTTATGTTTTAACTTAACCACCTCGGCAAAATTTTGACCTTTTTCGCAGGAAAAAAAGATATAAAATTGCAAAAAAATTTTTATTTCATACATACATGTTATTAGTTCATATTTTAGTTTTAATGACATTTAACCTCCCTCACAAAAATGATAAGACTATTTACAAATCGTCATTTTCTCCCCCCCTTCTTCTTGGGAAAATTTATAGCAATCACTTTCAAAATAGATTCTAAACAATTGTTTCTTTTAACAACCTGATTCTTTTTATTAATTCTTTTCTTAAAATATTCTAGCTTCTAATATTTTACTAATTTTATTTACAGTTTTAAATAAAGTAATTTGTCTTGATATTTTACTATATTCATAGAAATTTTTGCAAAGAAAAAAGGCAGAGAAAATACCAAAATATGAAGAGAGCAATTCTGAACGTACAACTGTTCCTGTCATCACATTATCTGATAGCTCTGATGATGATGATGAAGATGCAAGTGTTCTTATTGAAACTTCGAATAAAGAAAATTTCAAAAAAAGAAAGAAACCTGAAGAGGAAGTACTTACAGTGATTGACATAACTTCTCCAGCAGTAAAAGATATTAAATATGAAAAATGTACTGAAAACGTAAGTGCATCAAGTGACTGTTTAAATGATTACAACTTAAAATTTAAGTACTTAAATTTTTGGTGACAAACTCTGTGGGGTTTGGTAACCCCAAAAAATTAAATATCTTTTGTACACTAAATATTCACTGTGTACTTTTTGTATTAATCTCAATATTATCCTTATCTCATTCTTTTTTACTTTCTTGTATAAAGTAAAGGAAGTATTGTAATCATGAAAAATTTCGGTTTCAGATTTCCATAGAAATATCCATTTTTACTATTTTTTTGTATGATGTGTACGTATAGAGAGAATAAAGAACTCTTTATTGTAAGACGTATTGTAAAATGGATTTTTTTTCATGACATCTGTATATATCTCGCATAGTTCAAAAGCAATTAACCATAGAGCATTGAAAGTTTGTATGTGGAACTGCTATGACAGCTAGTTGTGCACCTCCCTTTTTTATTGCAATTGCCAGTATAAAAAGTATATATATATAAACTCATCCTCCTTACCCTGTCTTTATTTTTAAATTGTTGTTTATAGACATACTTCCAGATACAGAAGTGTTTTAAATAACGAAAATATTCATGCCACTTACGAGTTTTAAATAATGAAATTAACTTTTAATGTGGGCTTCAAATACCTGTATTCATATTTGGGAAAGTTTTATATTTGTTAAGAAAAAAATAAAAATACAAGAAGTTTGACTTGACATATGACAAAAATTGACTGGGATATTTAATTTCAAAATTTGCAGTTTTTGATGTCATTTTCAACTTTCCTTGAGGAATCAGTTTAGCTCAAATAATTCAAGAAAATAAGTTTAAATGAACTAAATTGTGTATAATTTAAGAGGTGTACAAGAAAATAATTCAGAGAATAATTTAGTATAAATACTTTACATTTTATTAAGTATTTTTAGTTAGCTCAGAGGTAGAGTATCATATGGTCATCAGATTTTTTTTAATTAGGTTTCTGCTTGTGTAAAAAATAATAATGAAACATATGCAATCTGTTGCCATACACTTTTGTAGAAGTGAATTCCAACTTTGAGCATATGATTAACCTGCCATTTCGAAACCATTTGGCAAGCTGCTATCTGACATCTGCCTGTCTGTTGTAGTTGTTAATAATGATCATAATTACTAATGGGGAAAATAAGATTTACTAAGTAAAAAAAAAAAAAAAGGTTGGTGCATCTTAATTTAAAAAAAAAAAATTATATCATTGTTAAAATCACAGTTTTATTATATCTCGCCATTTGGTAAAATTGCAACACCAAGAAATAGCTTTCAAATTGACCAAATATTTAACAATTTATCATGCAGAATGCAAATGATTGTAAATTCAATTGCATATGCTAATGGAATGAATGCATTTTCAGTTAGGATGAAAGTGGACCTAGTGCTTATTAAAGAGGCTATAAAAAGAAAATCTCTAAGAGTACATCAATGCAGTTAACTAATATTTCTCTCCAAATGCATGAAAACATGTCTTGGAGAATACATCAGCTGTTCATAATGAGACCTTATGAACAGCAGATAGGCTTTAAAATATGAAGAATTATTGACGGTAGTTGTTTCTTTTTAGTGCGAGATTATTGCTAATGTTGAGCAAAAGAGTAGTGTAGTAATGTGCTTGTGGAATTAATGTACAAAAGAATGCTTGATGAGCAGGATCTGGAGCACCTACAGCTATGCCAGAATTGGTGGACAGGGTCTTGGCATACAATAGTGATGAATTATGCTGCAAGATGTCCAGTATTATGGTAATAGTGACATGTAATGTGATATTTTTCAATGATTGCTGCAGTGAGGATTATTACCTTGGCATCCATTACTGTGACTTCTTTTGAGCCCTCTACCTTAGAATTAGCAATGTCAATGCTATAAACAGCAAAAATGTCGGAATGCTGAATCTATTCTAACCAGTAATCTATTCTAACAAATTTCGGTACAGTTCCTGAACTCCTGACAGTAAGACCTTCATTCATCTCTGTGGTGAAGAGTAACATCTGGAAAGCAGTATTGCAAGTGACCTAAGAAGAGCATCAAGTCTTTGGGTTAGTATGATGTTTCATTCAATGGATTATGTGCACTGTGAATAATCTAAGGTACATCTAAGAAGTATTGAAGCCAAAAATCCTGTTGCTTCTCCAGGACCTTCTTAAGGATATCTGTAACAAGAAAATACCATCTCTTTTTTGGCCTGCACAAGGAAGAAGTGGGTAAGAGACCAGATCTTCAACAAGGGTTTTACAGGTATAGTTCCTACCACACTAACTGTACAACTTTATCCCAAATTTGATGGGGAATATCCCATGGAATACAGCCAAGGGTCTTCTGTCTCTCTTTCCCTTCCAATGAACCTCTCAAAAGGATTTCCACCTTGCTAGTAGTTTAAGTGGGCCCATGCGATGCAAATATTATATGCTTATAAACCTTGCCCAAGAGACTAGAACCTGAGACTAATGATATTGCAGCCAGCACTACTATGCACTATACTTATTAAAGCGTATCAAGCACATTTCTTGAATGTTAGCATCTGACATTACCATAGATGTAATGGAATCTGCTTACAGTGACTTTTAACAGACAACCGTCCGAGGCGTATTCATTGGCTAGTACTAAACCATGTCTAGTCTGCTATAATTGTTAGAAGTTGATGTACAAAATATTGAATTAGCACATTTCTTTCATTTACAACTTTATCATTTTTATGTTATGTCGCATATCATTGTTTTCTAAATGTCAGGATTATAACTCATGTCCTTGTTGGTGCTGCAATTTCACTGAACATCATTATATAAAATTAGTGACTTGTGGATTACAGCAGCTTCACCATAAGAGGGTCCTGATTTTGGATATTAACACAATGAAGTTCATTATGGATCATAAGAATGCTTAAATGTTTCATTTAATATTGTGTGTGTGTGTGTATACTTATTTTTAGTAATTTTAGTTAAAATCTCTAGGCTGCTAAAAGAAGGAGGAAAGAAAGGCTTGCAGTGCCGTGTGCTAATTTTATACCTATAAAAAATCAAGGTGGACGTAAACAGAGACGGAAGAATCAGGTGAATAATCTGAATGAAACATGTCTGAATAAAGGAAATTTGATTTTATATTGTTATAAAATTTAGTGTTGTAATATTGCATAAAAATTGGTAGCTTATGGGTTAGAGCAGCTTGACCATATGAAGCAAGAAGGTCTCGACTTCAGACGCTACCACAGCTCAGTTAGTTATAGATCATAAGAGTATATATATACATTTTATATTGTATGTGTAGATTTCCCTAGTTTATAATAATTCTAGTTAAAATCTCTAGGCTTTTAAAAAGAGAAAGAAAGAAGTTGCTGTGCCAGTTGGGGATTTTATACCTTTGACAAATCCAGATGAAAATGAACAGAAACGAGAAAACCAAGACAGTATACAAAATGGTACATCTACTGATCTAGAAGTTGTGGCCCTTGATGAAACACCTGTCCCATCTCCCATTCCGATGGGTCCAAGACTGCTGAGGCCAGTTGTTATTGATGGGAGTAATGTAGCCAGAGAGTAAGTGTCTGAATGAGCATGTTATTCAAAGAAACTAAATTTTTAAACCTTTTGTCAACTGCTGTCAGTTATTGTCATTAATGACGTGTTAAACTAGAATAAATGGTAATTTAGTTACAAAGTCATAGTTACTATTTTTTAATCGATTTTATATCAGTATTTAAATTTAGAGGAAATCAAACTAAACAATGAAATATCATATAGTAATACTTAGTGTAAATTTTAAGTATGGTTGTAATGCATTCCTAATTATTAAAATGTTAATTGCTGTTTCATGTATTGTTGTAGTAGCATGTTATGTATAAAATATCCACATGATGTATTTTTTAAAATTTTAGTTTGATATTTTGTTTATTTTCACCTTTTTATGTTCCAGAATTTTTTATCTTTTGTGACGAAATTAATATATTATATAAAATATAATAATATTATATAGAAATGAAATATGTATATAAGTCTATTAATTGGTCTTTGATTTCACTGGCTGTCTTTTGAGGCTAAAGTTTTCAAAATGTAAAGCAAATAGAAATTTAAGCAGCATTTAACAAATTGTAAAGCAGCTCTATCTTGCTCAATTGAAAATATTTTCAAATGCATATCCAGTTAGTTTATCTGAAAATTCATACCATTTTTTAAGAGGGAAATAGTTTTGATGTTTTATACTAACTGGATAAAAAGTAATGTCATTAGTTTTATTATTAATCTCCATTATCATTAGTATAAACATGCATAATGCTGTAGCATAATCACCTGCCATTTCAACCACCTTCTGCCAAGTTACTAGGAGGAATTATACACCATCAGCATATCTATTTCTGTTGAATATCTCACATTGGCCACCCTGTAACACTGAAAACCTCTCTTGCAGTGGTGGTTTCAGATTTGTACAGAAATCATAATTGCAAGGATTCACATCAGTTTGGATGTTTTAGTTCCTGCTGTGTTTACCATCACAGTGTATGACAAAATGATCTGTGACAGTATTTGTAGTACAATGTCCTGCATTGTTGTGGAAAATGATGGAGTTCATCACCAAGTGCTATTGATTTGTCCTGAGTGTTGAATGCAGATCCTGTGATGGGAAATTCTAATAGTAGGTCAACAGTCTGTCTTAGAGGTACAGCATAGTGGAGTGTCACTCTATGGATGTCATTTTCATGGCATGCAGCAGAGTGTATAAATTCTGTGCGTGAAATAAACCAGGATGCCTTCATTTATTTTATTGTCATTTCGTGCCGGATTTGTAAGAGTAAACCTATGTTTTGTCTGTTGTGATGATTCGTTCATGAAATATCATCTTTCCTCTTTGAGACATATGGCTGCCTCAGTGGTTAACTGAACAGTTCCTGGGCTATCCATTGACAATCAGTATCTTTCAAGTAAGCAAGGAGCTCATTTTGTGAGTATCAGCAAGAAATCTTTCAGAACAGTATTCATCTGAATTACACCCCTTTCTTCATAGAACATTTTCACCCATCATATTACTGTGTGATATCACAAGACAGCATGACCACATTCTTCTGACAAGCCCTGATTGCAATTTTAATTTTTATGCAAAAGCATTGCTTCTGCTTTTTAAATAGTTTATTAGGTCCTGCTCTTTTAACTCTCAATAGAAATGCCATTGTATTCTTGCCTGCCCTTAACAACACCATCTCGAAGAATAAGGCCTGAGCATGATAGACTGGATGATCAGTAATATCGCAGTCAGAAGACTTAACGCAAACTAGCAGAGACTCTCATAAGCTCAAACCTATACTCTAGTGATTAATCTATAATTCAAGCATATTCACTGCATCCTAAATTCGGATTCTGCGTTGCATTTAAATCCTAATTTTAAATTAAAATTTTTGAAACCTTTTGGAAAATTTATCAGAAATTGTGAACAACTAAAATACTGTGTGTAATTTATTTTCCCAAATTCCAGGACCCTTGCTTCTAAAGCAGTGTGTGAGTAATTAAAATAAAATATAAAAGTAAATACTAAATAATAACAAATTAACTTTAATTAATGACAATTATGTGTAGAATTTAAATAATAATAGTTGATAAATATGCCACAAAAATTAAAGAAACAAATAAATAGTTAGTGGGAAAATTACTAATATTAAGGCTGGGTATTACAAGAAACTAGGATGACAGAACAGTAAATACTTTGAACATCATTTCATTTCTTTTATCGTATATATATTTTTTATTCATATATTTCGGGAGAAAGCGATAAAGTAATTGTATCTCAAAAATATAAATTCAGACCCTAACATTTTAAATTCAGTAAAGCAAGAAATCTTGAACAGTAAATGTGTCAATAGTCTGTTCTAAATTTGGATGTTCAACTGAAAGCATTTTAAGAAATTTGTTAGGAATTAATGATACTATTATTTTAACTGCAAAACAAATGAAATTGAAACTCGTTCTACAAAGGATTTGTAAAAAATGAAAAAAATAAAATTTCATGTTGGTATAAGGACAAGACATAAAACTTGTTCTAAATTGCTTCAAGATTTTATTTGTTACCTCACTTTTGCAGTTAAATCTTTCTTCCTATGTAAATTAAATTTAGAATTTCTGTGAATTTCAACAAGCTGGACTATTTGACATGGTTTGTATTTTTAACAGCAGTGTATGTTTTGTTAGCGATTTAAGCCAGAAAATTAAGCTATAATCAAACATTTGAAAACTGTTGCTGAATCTGATAGATGTCAGTTGCTGTTACAATGTAGTTCAAAAATTACTTTGGTCTGAATATGAACCATTCTTCTTAAAAACATAAAATCGGAGATACTTGGTTTCTTCTATCACTTTTATAATCAGTTAACTTTCATTGGAATTTATTTTCTGCAAACGGTTATTTAAAAAAATTGCGTAATTTTTTTTCTAGTTACTGAAAAATTATTTATCATTTATTACATTTATTTATACTTAGCTACTTCTTTAAGCTGATGCAAAAAATCACTTACCTTTGATAGCAAATTATTATTAATTACTTTTATAAAGTGGAGCAGTGTATGAATTTTTAAGTACCGATCTTGCGGCATATAACACACATGTATGATTTCAAACTACATTTAAAAATTTTTAAATATATTTGTTGTATAACATGTGAAGGAACCTTAAACTTTTCTTTCTGTTGAACCTAACCTTTCATTGCAAGGGAACCTGAAAAATACATGTGTGAAGCTCTTGTCTTTTGAATTGTTTATTTAAAGCTTTCTCTCAGGCTTTCAAACAATGGTTTACTGAATTGGCCAACAGTAAGGGAAACAGTATGTGTGCATGGGAAATGCTTGAGGAAACAAATAATTCTACAAAGGGGGATGGGTTACATTCAGTGCATATGTTCACAAGAATATTATTCTAGGTTTTTGACTTAGAAAGTCCTCCACAAAGGCATCCCTTCTCTTAGGCAGATAGTCCTTGAGGCTTTGCTGTAATCACATAAACCTAACCAGTCTAGGTTTTCGAAGAAAAAGAGACAATTTTAGGTAAGAACTGTGTACTAGAATGAATTCGTGCTAGATCAGATATTTTCTCGTTTTGTATTGATTGATGAGGGACAGTTGAACTAAAAATTGATTGAAACTAATCCATCATTCAAAAAAAGGAGGGGATTTAGTATTTGAAGTCCTTGCATATATGTGTAATTTAAATTATAATAATTTATCTTTTACAGCTTTTGAGGCCCACCGGCGGCCGAACGGTAAAGACGCTGAACACTGGTAGTTCGTTCCGAGGTTTGAATCCCATGAACGGGCTGGCTGCATGGGCGTTTTCGTGGTTTTTCCCATTGTAACGTGTATACGAGCCAGTTTCCCTTAGAAAGTCCTCCACGAAGGCATCCCTCCCTTTAGGCAGATAGCCCTTGTGTGCTTTGCCATATTTAAATAATCCAATCCAATCCTTTCACAGCTTTTCTAAGAAATTGATAAAATAAATAGAATTTCATTTTCCTTTATCTGTCTGCTGTTGACATGAGTACAGAAATGTTCTTTTAATAATTAGCATCCAGGTTTTTTAATTACAGTTAGATATATGTGTGCATGTACATATACCCCCTAAAAAGTATTTATTTCAAGCATTAACAAATCTAATTTTTAGGCATGGGAAAACACACAATACTTTCTCATGTAAAGGCATAAAAATCTGCGTCGATTATTTCTTAAATCGAGGCCATTCTCAAGTAACAACATTTGTCCCTCACTATCGGCGGCATTGCACTTCTGGGCCCATCTCAACAACAGACCAGGAAATACTTGAAGAACTCTACAGAACACAGCATGTTGTGTACACTCCTTCCAGAAGAGTTCAAGGCAAGAGAATGACATGTTATGATGATAGGTATGAATTAAATACTTATTTTTGTGGGATATTCTGCTTTTTATTATTATTATATATATATATATAATTGTGTTTTCATTGCAATCTATAAACCAAAAAATTGCATTGAATATCTGTAAGGAATGTATTCAAAAATTAACTTTAGGTTGCCTTTTAGATCTTAAAAAATAGACCTTTTCATTTCAGTAGTAAATTTGAGCCTACATTTTCTTTCTGGGGTGACTGTTTACAAATATGTTGAATTAAAACTATGAAAACTAGTCAAAAGATAGCAGAGGCCGTATGACAACAAATGATATTAAAACAGGTACAGGTTAAAGTAGGCTCAGCACCTGTGCATCCATCTAGGCATATTAGGTATCGCTGACACTTTCTAATCGTTAAGCTCCTGCAGAAGTGTAATTCCGAGGGGGGACACCTGAGGACCGAGACATTGAGGTTGACAACCCAAGACTCTCCCATCCCTTTTTCCCTACCACCAGCTTCTTGAGAGGATTTCATCATGCTGTATTTTGAGTTTCCCTTGCCGTGCAGACACTATATGCCTGCGAACATTGGTGCCTTCTCTGAATTTGAACCCAGACCTTTCAGTACGGCAATCAGCGTCACTAAAAACTATATTGAAACATAACATTGATAACAAGTTACAAAATTAGTCTAAACATTGAATAGACATTTTCCACTGCCTATACATGTGATGATTCTTTTCTCTGGCATTTTTGAAACTCTAAAGTAAACCAATACTTTTTTTAGAAAGAAGTTGAAGTGTAGCATGTTTCTAACACATGATAATTTTGCAGCAAGTTTTTAAGGCCCTTTTCAACTCTCCTTGCGCATATCTTTTAAAGGGAAATGGTTGAATAACATGTCCAATTCTAATTGTGACTGGATGGTAATCAGGATTGTCTTGGCTTGTTAGGTAGTTCTGTGTCATCTGTACCATTCTCTACATTTGCGACATGTTTCTCGACCATCTACTTCTAAAGGACATAGTCTTTTGATAAGTCTAGTAATAAGTCTTGCTTTAATTTTCATTTTGGCAGTCAACTATTCTACCTTTGCTGATGTAGATAAGTAATATTCTTCTGAAAATGTAGTATAATCTTTTAAGGTTGTTAGTACAGATTAAAATTATATCTCCTACATTAAGGTATGTCTCTAACTGTTGTTCCTTCGTGCAGTTGTTCGAAGTATTATTGCATAACCTGACTTGAAAAACTGTCATCAGGTTTCGTCTGTAAATGAATCTCCCCCCCCCCAGTTTCGTATAAATAGTTTTTGTATGAAAAAAAAAAAAAAAAAAAAAAAAACAGGTGTAAAATTTTCTTTCAAAAATAAATCAGCCATTAATGGGTTTAAGACCTTTGGGTCTTCACTGACGTAGGCTTGAGGTCTCATCGTCACAGAAAATAGCTTTCATTTCTTGATAAAGACACTTGTCCTAAATCTTTTTTCAGAATTTGTTTTAGAAGGCTAATTAACTCTTTCAAAATTCATCCCACCATGAAGTTGCTGGGAGAATAAGCTACCAAGGTAATAGGAGAAAGAGATGTTTTTAATCTTTCTAGTATGATATTTTTCAACTAATTTTTGGTTTCAGTAAAGTTCCAAATATATTCTTGAAAGTCGACCTTGATGTGCTAGGAATCTTCTAAGTGCCAATAAGAAATTATTCGTTGATAGAAAAATCAAACCTTCTAAATGTACTGCTCCATAAACTATGCAAGTTAAAATCAAGACCCATACCTTCTTAACTTCTCTCAGTAGTAAATCCTGCCACATCCACTCCAATAATTTTGGAAATGCAAATATTTATTATGTCATCTTCAGGAAGAATTCCTACTAGAATTTCAGGGAGTATGACTGTAAATCTTTAACAGAGATTGATTATTGCTTTTATAGTTCTTTTTAGTATCCAGTAATTTTCTCTCAAGTCCACTGTTAGCAGTGGTAGTCCAAGCTTTCTCTCAAGTCTAGTGTTAGCAGTGGTAGTCCAAGCTTTCTATGTTTTAATAAAATTAGGCATTGCTTGATCAATAATTGTTCCTTTTCCTGCTTGCTTCCTGGTATCAATTTTGGGAGTTCTTTGCTGCTATTGCTGCTTACCTAAATTTACCAGTGAGATTTGTATCTAACTAAATGTATCAGTTTAATCACTAATGGCAAATATTACATCCATCCTCCTCCCTTATATTTATTAATATGTCAATAAAATAAAAAATCAACTATTTATTAATGTATATAGTTCATAAATAAAAATAATAACTCAGGTTGTCATTAATGTTTTTTCAATTCATTTTAATTTCATTTCAAATTCAAACTGTCCAACAAAAACTGGAGTCGGAGTCAACCTGTTTTTAACGACTCCAGCTCCAACACCTTTTACCCCCAAATCTGCCCGATTCCGACTCCATAGCCCTGGTTCTAATTTAACGCTTTAAGAAGCAACACCATAAATTCCCAGTCAAGTCTTTCATAGTCATTAAGGCATAATAATTATTAAAACGTTCTTTCGTGTAATATGTGTAACACTGCATTTTCTGTGACGCACAGAATGAGTGAAGGTTTTATATACCTGTTCTTTTCAAACCACTTCATGTAAATTATTACCATATCTCTAAAAAATTCAAATGAAAAATGTTATGCATGTATGAAATATTTAAGAAGCATACAAAATGTTATAAAGAACAAGTTACACAGTGAAGTTAATTAAATAAACTGTAAGTCAGATATTTATAATATTACATTCATTAGTTTTTGAAACAGTTAAATCCATATAATTTAAGACACATTTAAAAAGAAGTCCATTGCTTATGTATTTAGTAATTGTTCATTAGCAAACAAAACAAAAAAATTCATAAAAAAGGTGGAGTAATTTTTTGTCAAACTTTGAAGCTCAAAGTTTGATTTCTTGTTCTAATTCTTGGTGCATAAGTTTTTTTTAATTATTTATTAACGTACCTATTTTATTGCCTTTTATATATAATACTAATGATCTCTTTTCAGTTTAAAGAGAAACTTTTACGTTTATTTGAATGTTCAGAATTTTTTTTAATTGTCTTCCAAGGTAAGAATATTTTATCTTTTTCATATTACATAAAATTTTGGAATGGTCAAGTATATTCATAATACATCATTTAGTTTAAATTTTTTTGAGCCATTACTGGTAATTTTTATTGCTTTTCCTGCCTTGAGTGATTATTAAATGCTGAGTTTAATAATTTATTTTATTACAGATTTGTGCAAAATTGTTAATGAGGATGGCAGTAGAATAGATAACAGTGGATGTAAAATAATTTTGTGAAAGCAAGAGCATCATGAACATAATATACTTTCTGAAAGAATGTATACTAAGATTATATGGTTTAATCTAGTTCTTAAGGACCAGCTACCTCAGGAGAGATGACTTCATAAAAGAATACATGATGAAAACAAGTCCTCATTCAACTTGTACATTTGAGAAAATATGAAAATCCCATGTAATCAGCCCATTCGTGTACCAGCATATGTGAGCACGCTAGTCTTTTGATAGAAATGCATTTTGTATTAGAATATTCAACTCGTGTGTAAGAACAATAAAGTGCACAGAAAATTTGCACCACATTTATGAAGTAGTCTGAAAATGCTTGTCTACTATCTTGGTTCTGAATGCATATGTGGTAGTGTTGTTTGCATTAGCAAGTTAGAATGTCTCCTAAATCAGCCAACAGCATTACAACCAGCTGAATGAATTTGAGGGAACCAGCAAAAAGTCAGGAAGTGTCGGCTAATTATGTTCCTAAATCATATAACTGTGGCTTGAGAGTAGAAGCAATGTCTTAGAAAATAATCATATGATGATGTTACTACGTAGATTCTTCTAGTATGATTTGGAATCATACACTGTGGACCCTAGCTGAAAAGAGTAACTAGCGAATTATCTCTAGGTCTTGGAAGAAACAGAGGACTGCAGAAGAAGGTTTAAATAACCTTTTTATTTGAACTTAACAGAAAATGCATTCGCTCGGTACTCACAATCTACCACCACTTGTCTCTAAGTAACTTAACAGAAAAATAAGATATAAAATCACAATAAAGTAAGATGGGCTACACGACTGGCTCCTTATTTATCTAAACCGCTAAATCGGCTGCACATAGCAAAGTCAAAATTAGAACATCCAATATAATCTAGAGAGAGTGGTTAACACCAACTATTCATGTACAAAAAAAAGCTATCTCAAACACGCAGCATAAATTCAGGACGAACTCTCCTCTCGAACTCTTAAAACCACTGCTTAAATACTGGTTCTGAACTCGCTTAGATTCGTATACTATGTCATTAAAATTTACATTTTGGCAGAAAACTGAAATCAGAAAAAAAAAAAGTTTTTTCTGAAATTAAAAATAACTGGATTGAATAAAATAAGGTCTTTACAACTGATGCTTCCTATAAATTATCCACAATCATAATGAAGGTGTCAACCATTTATGAGGATCAAGCAGTAGTGAAAGCTGCCTTAGTAGACATCAGTAGCAAATTCTCATTAATACAGTCAAAAATCTTTAATCCGGCCTCGCCGGGACTTTGGCAATTCCGGATTATCAGTTTTTCCGGATTATAGATCATAAGTTTAAATCTGGTAAGATAGCATGCAGAAATTATTAAATTAAAAATATGAAACTGTAATTTATGAAATAAAGAGCAATTATGATCTAAAGGGTATCAAAATTTACAAAAAAAAAAAAAAAAAAAAAGCTTAATACTTATTTGTTTACTTTATTAAACATTTCTTTCAACGTGCGCATGCGTAAAGCATACATTACGCATAGTTGAAAGTAGAAAATTGCAACCAGAAAACTATTTGATGTGTATTCGTGATATTTATGATGACGAGGAAGGAATTTGATTTAAATCATATCGAAGACGGAGTACATCGAGATGAAATACTACATTTAGTAAGGAATTATAAGCCGAATAAAATAAAAACGTCTACCCTGATGATAATGATAGTGCTGACAGA